CAAGTTGCCATCCATCTTTCCACGCTTTCATATAAAAAAATCGAAACAACCCCACCTATGTTTTGCTTTAACTTTGACTTTTAGTGCAGTAGTATAGTTCTAAGAATGCGATACCTGCAAGTGACGTAGTATGGGCAGCTCGTTCCTGACTGTTCCTGGCTGTTGAAACGTGTCATTTGTTTATGTTAGCAACTGTTCTTTCCATTCTATTTCGAGTAAGCCAAGCCTGTCAGGTATAAATTCTCTTAAGTGATGCATTCTATAATCCTTCACAAAGATTCTTTCACTAAATATTTACATAGAGACAGGCACGAAGTTACGTGGAACATAAACAAACTAATTATGCATCGAAGTTGCCAGGTACACAAAACAAAAATATATCACGGTTACAATAAAATACATAAACAAATAATAAATCTAAGTTAAGAAAAAGAAGTGGGCGAGAAATAATTATATTTCAACTATTTCGATGCAAGATACAGCTCTAATTAACTTCACGTTAATTAGCATTCTAAGTAGAGAAACTTAGCTCAACTTTAATGCGCCATTTTGCTGATAAAGATTAGTTGGCGCTGATGTTATAGGTCACATGTGTGAGTATGGGAGGTCTTCTTCTTCTTCTCCTTGAAATGCAAGTATCGTAGGCAAAAAAATTTAAAAGTATAACTTTGTGTAATACAAAATTTACGTTTTAATTACTTTATAAAAACTTAAAGCTCATCGAAAAGATTTTTATTTTGATGAAATTTAACTTTTCATTTATAAATATTCCAATAATTTAGTGTAATTTTTTCCCTACTTTTTGAAACTTTTTTTATTTAAAATATTTAAGGGAATTTCAGGATCTAACATTATACTCCACCTCCTGTTTGTCAGCAAATATAAGAAAATGGCAACACTCTCCCCCTTTATGTGTTTGCGTAACATTTGAACGACCCTCTTGGCCATGCATATAATGACAAATGCTCATTAGATAAGGAAGGAAATAAAGATCACGATAAAAATATTATTTAAAAATCGTTAATTCTTTAAAAATACAAACGTTGTGATGAAATGAAAATGATTCCCCTAGTAAAAACTTTTTATCAAAGCATGCAGCAAATTGTATTCAAAATACGAATACAAAACACGCAATGCAAATTAAAAACAGCGACTTTTTTGAAAATTTATTACTTAGTAACTGTTAAGCAGATTTTGGACAAGTTTGGGATTTTCTCTTTTAAAATAACATAGTGTAATAGTAGATGAAGGATTTTATACTTGAAAAATCGAAAGTTTTTTTGACCATTTTAAAATGAAATAATAAAAGTTATTAAATAATCATAAAATATATTATATTTTACACTTAAACTATGTATAGATAAACGAGTTTTACAATTGTGTGCAAAAATGTTTCGATTCACTTAAAAATTTTCAGAGATATAGAGAACCACGCCAAATGTGAATTTAGCACTAAAGGGGCTCGAACTTTCAACCGCTCTTCTGACTAAACTATTGGCACGATATGAGTAATCGCGATTGTTACTTCCCCTCTCATAATTTGAGTTCATCAATTTTTATCCGATGAAAAAAAAGTGTGCTTACTCAGAGAAATTACGTTTTTGAGTCTGATTTCGTAGCTTAGAATATCTCCAGCACTAATTAGTTTGAATATTTAAAGCTAACCTCTCTAACGTGCATTTTAGATTTAGAAAATACGATCATTAGAATCAAAGAATTTCAACAGTTTTAGTTTTACTTTGCGTGCTGTAAATTTGCCTCTTTTTATATTTTTAAAACCTACTTTAATTACTGTTTAATGAAATTTGGCATAGATGACGCTAAAAATTGTTTTTGGCGTATTTTATTTAACAGATTAAAATAATTTCAGCACGCATTTTCTCTGTTGCAGTCATACAATGGCAATACTTTTACTTTCGTTACTTGTAACAGAAGCGAAAGTTAGAAGTACATACTTGTACTTCGTTACTTATTAAATCTAGTACTTTTACTTGACTTTCCGTCAATTTTTTTGGGGGAAAAAGTGCAAGTATTTGTAACGAAAATGTCAAGGAAATCGTTACTTTTTCTGATTTTTTATTAATTTTCCTCAAAAAAAATTTTTTTCTCTCGAAATTTTTGAATCGCTAATTTCTCTTCCAAAACCTATGCTGAAAATCAAGTCCATCAAATATCTCCTTATTACAAAGCCTTTTAAAAGTAACCGTGTAACTAGAGGGAGAAAACATGAAACCCCTTAACTAGAGCCGTGTCCCTAATCAGAGGATAGCGCGTTCGCCTTCTATTGAGGTGAACCGGGTTCGAATCCCAGTGATCGCTGGTTGATATGAATTCCGCATCCGGCTTGAACCGACCACAATGCTGACGTGAAATATCTTCTGCGGTAGACGGATCATGGATTAGAGTCCCCTTGTCATCAGGCTAACCGTGGGAAGTTTTCGTGGATTTCCTCTCCATGTAACGCAAATGTGGATAGTTCCATAAAAAAGTCCTCTACGAAGGAAACATTTCTCCCAGTACTTGATCCAGGAGTTTCCTTGTCTTCTGGATTGGGTTCAAAATTACAAGGCTGTAGAGTTGAGCATTAGTAGTTATAAACACCAAAAAATGGATCGGTTGTTCAACGATGGTTATGAAAATAAACCCTTAATTGGCGGGCGAAAATATCAGTGGAGCATCGTTTATACGACGCCGAAGGGACCAACGAAAAACGTCGTATAAGTGATAACGTCGTATAATCGATTTTTACTTCTAAAACTGAAACTAACTCTGTTTTCAGTTAATTATATTAATTTAACATGTTGATTAACATAAATTTCTAAATTAGACAAAGCAAAACAAACAAATAACCAAAGGAGAAAAATTGCAGTGAGACATTTGAATGTATGTTACCTTCAATTATATTTTCCTGCTATTATTCTCTACAATGATTTGAATAGCGAGTTGAAGTTACTGCTTTCTATGATGCAATTTTAAATTTCTAATCACGGCCAAATCTAATGGCTGAAGCGCACGTGTGCAATTTGCAGGAAAAAAGAGAGCTTTTACATTTTCCAAAATAATTAGTATCGATGGGTGCGCTGGACATTGGTCGATGAATAGCAAAATTTTTCGTTTTTTCCTCTTCATAACATTGTCTAGTTTTTTCAGTCATCTAGTAAAAATTACGGTCGTCATCCAAGCATTCTTGTTGACACCCTTTTCTGTATCATTCATGTTGGCAAATTCCGCCCTTTTTTAAAATACACAAGAAAAAATAAAAAATTAAATAAAGAACAAAATCTAAAAATCGACGTATAACCGATTCTGTGCGTCGTATAAACGATATATTTTTACATTAAAATGAATGGGAATGATTTGGGACCACACTAAAACGTCGTATAAATGTAAACCTCGCATAAGTGATCGTCGTATAAACGATGCTCCATTGTAGTTTTCAAGGGGTTACCTGTGTACATGAAAATATTATTTTTATTTATTTTTTACTTATTTCTTTAAGCAATAGTTTTCGAATTTTCCCTACAAATAAAATTATTACTACAGGTTTCGATAATGAACACAAAATTTCTAAATATTTTTTATAATTTAAAAATTTATTCCTTTTTTGCGCAAAACATGTAAGTTTGATTTCTGGTTTGGTTTCTGGACATTTTCAACGTTTATTATTCCAATAAAATTCGTAATATTTTTAAGTTTTATACATTTTAATTACAATTTAATACATTTTAATTTAAAATTACATTTCTTCTTCCATTTGTTTAATGAAATTTAAGGTTATTTTAAACTTTCGATTTCCCTGAAATGTTTTTAAAAATCGTTACTTTATTTTGTTTTGTGCTTGCACTTTTGACTCGTTACTTTTCAACATCAATATTTTTTACTCGTTACTTTTCCTAAAGTATCTGCACTTTTACTCGTTACTTTTTAAAAGTAACTTTCCCATGTATGATTGCAGATACCCCTTCCGCAAATCTAACTTAGATAAGTAGGGAATGCATGTTTTTTCAGATAATTTTTAAGTATGATTTTATTTTTTAATGTTATCATTATATTTCTAGAGAATCGAGGCTTAATAGAGCTGGAGAAACTCTAAGAAATAGTTGGAAAATTAAGTGATAAAATTCTATTCTGTATAATTTATGTTGCAGGAATCTGTGTTAATGTTTACTTTAAAGGGTCCAGAAGGGTTTTAATGCAAAATTTTTTGATTTTTTGAAAAAATATGTCAAGACCTGGTTCATTCGGAGCAATTTAATATCAAGCATAAGATAAAATATAGCACAAATATTGAAAACTGCGAACTGAAAATAGAACACAGCCATTTTCTGAACTGGAACCGTCCGCAAACTCAAGTATTTTATTTAAAGTTATTTATTCGAAGTTCTATCTTTAAATTTGTTTCTCTTAATTCAGGTTTTTTCAAGTTCTTCAAATTAACTTATAAATCTAATAAAATTAAAACTTGGTAATTTGTTTGAATACAGCATGTTGCTTAAACTCATAATAGAACTTGAATATTGGTAACTACTTTATATATTAGGAAGGTCAAGATAATTTCTTATAAGTTTTTTTAATTTAAAAAGTGCTTTTTGTATTTATATTTCTTTGAGCGAGCATGGTTTCGAAAACAGCATAATTGACTGACTGTTAAGTTAGTTTTATGAAATATTAAATTATAAAAGTGTTTTGCATAGTTTCACAAAAGTGTTTGAAATTAAACAATATCTGTACTTCTGCTAAATTTTTCAAAAAGAAAAAAAAAATTAAAAATTAAAAATTTAAGTTACATTTCAGAGAAGATGCAGAAAGTCGAATAATAATGCTTTTTCAAGGAAATAAAAACTATCCAGTCACCTTAAAAAAATAATGGAATACTTTAATTCAAAAAGCTATGCAACAAATAATAATCAAAATTAAAAACAAAACGTGTCAAAACGTGAAACGTATGAGACTATTTATTTAAAAAGCATTATGAATTAAAAGAGAAATGTTTTTTTCAGGAATTCCTGGAGGAGTTGGTGTGCCGACATTGACGGCGGCATCGTTGCGGCCATCCTTCCCACTTCTTGCCGATACCTTACCGACTTATTATTCGAGCTTGTGGTGCGGTTCTCCTCTTTCCCTCAAGGATCCCGCTCTACCCCTCTTTCCTCTTTTTCCCCACTACCTACCCTCATACGGATTCTCTTCTTCTCTTGATTCTTCTACTGCACCAACGACTGTTGAAAATTCACCAAATGCATCAGGTATGACCATTCTTTTATTTATCTATAAAGTTAAGATATCTTCTATTTCTTGATTGTTTTATTTATTTATAAAGTTCAGCTATCTTTTATTTCTGATTGCTTAATTTATCTATAAAGTTTTGCTATCTTTTATTTCTGATTTGTTTTATTTATCCATAAAGTTCAGCTATCTTTTGTTTCTTTATTGTTTAATTTATCTATAAAGTTTAGCTACCTTTTATTTCTGTATTGTTTTATTTATCTATAAAGTTAAGCTATTGTATACCTTTGATTGTTTATTTATCCATTAAGTTTAGCTTTATTTTATTTCTGATTGTCTCATTTATCTATAAAGTTTAGCTGCCTTTTACTTCTGATTTGTTTTATTTATCCATAAAGTTCAGATATCGTTTATTTCTTTATTGTTTTATTTATCTATAAAGTTCAGCTAATTTTATTTCTAATTGTTTCATCCATCTATAAAGTTTAGCTATCTTTTATTTCTGTATTGTTTTATTTTTCTTTAAAGTTTAGCTATCGTATACTCTTGATTGTTTACTTATCCATTAAGTTTAGCTTTATTTTATTTCTGATTGTCTCATTTATCTATAAAGTTTAGCTATCTTTTACTTCTGATTTGTTTTATTTATCCATAAAGTTCAGATATCTTTTATTTCTTTATTGTTTCATTTATCTATAAAGTTCAGCTATCTTTTATTTCTGATTGTTTCCTTTATCTATAAAATTAAGCTACCTTTTACATATCTATGCAGTTCATCTATCGTTTATTTCTGTTTATTTATTTTTCTATAAAGTTTAGCTAGCGTTTAATTCTGATTGCTTTATTATACACGTGAAAGGGAATGTATTTTTTTTTTGTTCCTGATCGTTTTTCTTCTCTTTTCTTTATTTTTTAATATTTGAAATCCATCATCGGTGAGTTTTTAATCCGAACGTAGCTCAAAATGCATGTTTAAAAAAATTCGTTTCGTTAATAATTAATTTCGTTAATAATTCGTTCGTTTTAATAAGAGAAGTTTGTAAAAGTTCGTTTTACAAACTTCTCTTATTAAAATTGTATTTTTTTCTTCTTAAAGAAATAAATTAATCAATTCAAAAAAGAAATAAAAAGATAGTAGCCCAATGTCTATTTACTTAAATCGCATTTTTTCCTATTTTTTTTTAAAAATTAGTCTTTTTTGAACAGATATTAAAAGCAAATAGCTCACAATGTTGTCATGGGTGCTAAAAATTTGCAATAGTGTGGTTGCTAAATTGATGTTGCATGATTTTAGATTTTTTAAAACATTTCTATTGCTTAATGATTCCATTACGAAGGGATTGCTAGAAAAGTTGCATCTGTAATATACCCGGTCACAGTGAGCCGAAGTCTGGCCTTTTGATCCGTAATGATTATGCTTAATGTTTAAAAAGAAAGGTAAATTAAGTTCGAAATTCCTCGTTTAGTTGCTTAATCTGGGTTGAATATTGAAAAAAAAGCATTTTTTGCTGAGTCCATTTTCTTAAACGTACATATTAAGCTTTGCTCATTTTCATAAACACACATATTAAGCTGCAGTAATTTTTCTAAACACGCATATTAGTGTCCATTTTCATAAACACGCATATTAAGCTGTGTCATTTTTTTAAACACGCAGACTAAGCTGTGTCCATTTTCATAAACACGCTTATTAAGCTGCGTCCATTTTTATAAACACGCATGTAAGGCTGTGTCCATTTTTATAAACGCTAATATTAAGATGTGTCCCTTTTTCGTAAGCACGTATATTAAGCTGCGTCAATTTTCTTAAACACGCATATTAAGCTCTGTACAAAATGAAAAATTCCCCGACGACGTGTTTATCAATGGTACCTGATTGAAATTTTCTTTTCATGACACACTCAAGGTATAGTTATCATTTTTGCCTTACTGTTTTATTTGTAATATTTATATATATTTTCAGTCATTATTTCATTCTGATTGTTTTTGACACATATTATAAATAAAACAGTTAAATTTTTTTAAAGCATTTTCCGTACAGTGAAGAAATGTTACGGAATGAGTTGGAAATATGCGTATAAAAATTCATATTTATCAATGCATAAGGCTTCCCGATTCTACTGCAAGTTCTGAATTTTGGATTGGCTTTAAAAGTAAAAAAAAATGTATCTAAAAGGATAGGTTTTGGACAGTTTTATGTTTATTTTGCCTATTTGAATTCGAAAATGAAAGCGGAAGTTACTTAAAAACTATCTGAAATTTTATAAGCTGGCATTTTTCTTATTTATTTATTTAGCAGTTCACGATAGCAAAAATATTCTTATTCTTTTTTCTTTGCCTAATCTATATGGATATAATCATATATGGCAGTACTTTTACTTTCGTTACTTGTACCGCCGGTACAAGTAAAAAGTACGTACTTTTACCTGTACTTCATTACTTTTTAAATTTAGTACTTTTACTTGTACTTTCGTTACTTTTTTAGGGAAAAAGTACAAGTATTTGTAACGGAAATATCGCATGAAATCGTTACTTTTTTCTAAAACTCGGTAAGCTTTCTAAAAAAAAAAAAAAAAAAAAAAAAAAAAAAAAAAAAAAAAAAAAAAAAAAAAAAAAAAAATTAAAAAAAAAAAAATTAAATTTAAAAAAAAAAATGCTTATGTTTTTTTTTAATTTATAAAATTAATGTGCAATATATATGCATTCACAGCTAACTTCGTGTTTAAATACCTTCTGTTTCAACTTATACTGCACATTCAATTATTTTTTACTAGCTCAAAGATCACAAAGCTATCTGAAACCCCGTGTTTGCTTTGTTTATGTTTGTGCTTTTAAAACGCGTTTCTAAAGAGTAAAACAATTTTAAATCAATGGTAATTTAAATAAATAAAAATAATAAACTAAAAATTAAAATCAATAGATAAAATTTCTTTTTCGTGCAAATCCATAAAAAGTTTGATATTAAAATTATATTTGATTTTAAAATTATATTATACGATTATATTATAAAATTATATTATAATATTCTTCCGAATTTAAAAATAAATTAATGTCCATAACTTTCAAAATTAAAAATAATTAAATAAATAACAACAATTTTGCAAAAACATTAAAGAACATAAGAATATTATTCAATAAAATTTTAGGTTACTTTGAATTTTCGATTTCCTAGAAATGTACTTTTAAATCGTTACTTTTTTTGCTTAGTACATGTACTTTTACTTGTACTTTTTACTCGTTACTTTTTAAAATAAGAACTTTTTACTTTTTACTCGTTACTTTTTTTAAAAATACTTGTACTTTTACTCGTTACTTTTTAAAAGTAACGTTGCCATATATGGATATAATTATCCGTTACTCCCATACAATTATTCCTTATTTTTTTTTTGTTGCAAGCAGGTATGGTTTTTGTTTCTTCTTTTTTGTTATCCATTTTACTCTAACTCTTTTCTCCAGCTGTTGAATATTAATATTTTTTTTTTGTTATTTAACTCGAAAAAAAGAACTTGGTCCTCATAAGATTTTTTTTTAATTTGATAATTTGTTCACAAAAGATTTTGTCCACGTACCTTTAAGTCTAAGGGATATTATATCCCTGAGATATTTTTTTCCCCACAATATTTATTAACATGTGATTTTAACCACTTGATATATTCCATGCAATTTTTATTTCTTTAAACATTATTTAGTGATTATAAGCTTTTGTCAAAATATATAGAGAGCACGTGATATATCGAGCTAAATTATGAACTAAGTATAACATAGAAGTGCGTACATTTTCAATAATTTCATTTAAAAATTATATTTCTTTTAAAATAATTTTAAAATAAAAACGCCTATTAAACAAACCTATTAAATAAAAACACCTACTAGAAATTTTTCCGTATAACAAGTAATATTTATGCGAAAAAACAAACAAACGCATAAGATATTCTACAAAATGATAAAGTTATTACACTCGAAAGAATAAAATTATCAAATTGCGAAACTAATTACTTTCGTTTGCGTTTTTTTTAACATTGTCACTAATTTTTTGTATTTTTTACGAAGAAAACACGGCTAGTGATATTAATAAATAATGAATTCCAAAGCTCTCGAATAAATTTTTTTGGAACTGGAGAAAAAAAACTTATCAGAATTCACCAAACATAACAATTTTTAAAAGATTATACTCATAAGCAAACATCAAAGAAAAACACCTTTCGCAACAAGTTGGCGTCTGAAAAACTGCATCTTTTGCGAACAAATCAGAAGAAAATTAAAGCCGTGATTAAAGAACAGGAAAAGCGGAATTTCTTCCGAATAACATTTTTCAGTTTTTTTCCCTATTTTTTTCTCTTTCTTATTACAATTCAAATGAGTGAAAGGGGAAAACTTGAAATCCAAATGGCGCAAAGTGAATATAAATAATCGTAATAACCCCAAGAGACTTTTCCCGCTTCTTTTTAGCCGGGAGCCAAATTGTCGCCGAAATCATCGCCAATTCTCTAGAGAATGAAGAAAATAATCTCCTAGTTTGCATATAATAATCCAATTCTCCTAGCTTCTGTGTTTCACAGGCTAGAGATGCAATTTAAAGGTTATGACGATGAAAAATATTGCCAAGAGAAACAAAAAAAAATACAAAAAAATTCATGCATTAAAGAAAGGAAAATGATTCTTTAAAGAAAATGAATCAAGAAAATGATATAAAAAAACGTGCTAGAAACATGCATTTTAACATAAACGAAGAGAAAATCACGATGTTTAAATTTGAAAATGAAATTAAGAGATTGTTTGTTTTTGTTTTCATACTTTAATTTGGATAAAAAAGGATAATTGTCCCTAGAAACTGCTAATATCAATTAGTATTAATTTTATGATCGTAGAAAGCATAGATAAATGTTTCTTTAAATACGATTGCCTATATATATATTGTTTTGAATCTCTCTAAAGAATTATTGGAATTAAATAAGCATTTTCAGCGAATATTTTTTAAGCATGTAGTTAGAAATAAATAATTAGCTATTGCTATTTAATT